AACTAACGACCTTGCGCTTGCCAGGCAGGCGCTTTTGCAGCTGAGCTAAATCCCCAGCCCCCACAATCAGTATTATTCAGATGACCTTGATATACATTTGAGAATCTGGCTGAGGAATGAAATGTGGAGGAGAGCAATATTCCTCTGAGAAAATATTTGTGAGGTTAAGTTTTTCTAAGTATTAAAGATGCCACTACATAAATTACTAACTATATTTGCAGCCATTACATCACCCTCATAATAGATTTTGTAGATGTTCTCAAATCCTGATTCACCAGTCATTATTAAATTGTGTTTACACTTGTCATTACGCAGTCTATAACTATTGGTGTTGTTTCCATAGGTCTCAAAGCACGTCAAGTCCCAACTCTGAAAGTATTGGTTGGAAACCCAGAGTTGCTGGAAGTTAAAGTCGAAGGCTCTTTTGATTATGCTGATAATTATCTAATGAAGATTTCTGTTACTAGCAAATCTTTTCGTCAAGTAAGATTTTCCTTAGCTACAAAAAAGTCTATTAATTGTAAAAAATTTAGAATATAAGCTAAGAAAAAGATAGCAATTACACTTAATCCTATCTATCAAAGATGACTAAGCACTTTTAGCACACTGAGTATTTAAAAAGGCAGGGTAGAGGTTCAAAATAGGGGTAACAAGTGTGAGGTCTGGAGAAGACTACCTGAGTTAGGCAGGTCTCACTCTGGTACTGTCTGCATGACCTTGGGAAAGTGACTTAGTTTCCTCATCTGTATAATGGAGATTATAGTAATTTTACCTGCCTTATGGAGGTTTATTTTTAAGAATTAAATGTGAATAATACAAGTAGGGCACCTAAAACAATGTCTGGGCTACGAGAGTAGCTCAGTGCTAGAGTTCTTGCCCAATATACTTAAAGCCCTGGATTTGATCCTCAGAGCTGCAAAAAGAAAATATTCTAAAATCTAGAAAGTTCTTGGTAACTATTAATTTACAATATTTTCTTGTTTTTTCCCTCAAACTGGGAAAACGCTACACATATACTTTTAGAAATTTGCTCATTCTTTTAATTATAGTATGTTTTAATCTCTTAAATCAATAAATATTTTTCTACATATCCTACAACTTTTTTTTTTGAGACAAGGTCATGCTAGCCCAGGCTGGCCTTGAACTCACCGAGATCCTCCTGCTTCAGACTCTCAAGTGCTGGGATTATAGGCGTGCACCACAACACCAGGCTTAAAATTTTTTTTTAATCATGAAAACTTTCAGATACAGACAAAAATAAAGCATCCATATGCCCACCACCCAAATTAAACAATAGTTAATATTGTGCTGCTTTTTTGCATTTTTATTCAATATTTGGTTTATATTCCAATACAGTTTAAAATGAATAGCCAATATAATCATTTTACTCCTACATATTTCAATAAACATCTGTAAAAAAAATCATGTTTATTAACTCTCACATGACCACAATGCTGTATTATCTCTGAATTTTTAAAATGATATTTGGAAACCATTTACAACCATATTTTCCCAATTCTGGAAAAAAATATATTGTTTATAATTGGTTTGTTTGACAATATACAAGCAAGATTCACACAGTATGTAAGTGTTTTATCTAAGTTTTAATCAAGGGCCCCTACAACTCCATTCTCTTCCCTTAGTTGAAATTGAAACACTTGCACTATAAAATGTCCACTGTTTTGGATTTTTCGGTTTGCTTCTTTGTACTTTACTTAACTTGTACCTTTAGCCTCATGTTTTCTTTTATAGTAGATTCCTGCTTGAATTCATGTTCAATGTGTTTGGACAGAGCACATAAAAATACATCATTTCTAGTGGTTACATTATATGGAAGCAAAGGAAAAACTATATACCACAGTCAATGGCATTCACTAAATCACAAGCATTTTAACACTTTGAAAGTTCCAAAAATACTTAAAAATGTCAAACAAAATGTATTAAATTTCATTGAATGTTTAATATTATTTGAGGATCAAATATATTTACTGTGCATAAATTCCTGCCCAAAAAAACTATCTATAAAATATGTGACTACTAAGTAAATAATTTTTTTCAAAATGTACACCTATAGATGTCACTTTATTCACATCATCAAAGCAAATACCCAGGTGCCCATCGGTGAACTAGGAAGCTTTATATATCTGAAGCAGATGTAGATGTCTTAATATTTGTTCATTTCCAAATGTGTCTCAAAGCCAGTTAGATTTTAATATTTCTTCCTGTGAAGGAATATATTTTGTTATGATTTGTTCTAAACAGATGTTTATGGACAAATTTATCATTCTGTTTCTATTTGAGACAGAGTCTAGCTAAATCCCTGAGTTGCCCAGGCTGGAGTCAAACTCATGATCCTTTTGACTCCATCTCCCAGAAGGCTGAGATTTTATATGCATTCACCACTATTCATAGCTCATTTTACCTTAATTTCCTTATTAGAGGTACTATCTCCAAATACACTTTCCTCAGGTACTGTATACCTCATATGAGTACGTATGACTTTGGGTGGATACAGGTCAACCTATAACAGTTAGTTTAAGTAACATTGACTTATTTGGAAATATCCAGGGTTCCACTTCACTAGCATTGATTATCTGGGGAGCATCCAATGAGTGCTTTGTGACAACGCTGGTGCCAACTTTGAAAAGCAGCTGTAGCTATCTCACATCTATGCATCATGTTCCTAGGCAACGTATTCCGTACGAAGACTGGATTAGTGGAGTTCACAAAGACAGTCAGGGTTTTAATCTGATCAAAACTTTGCCGGTAAGAATTTAAGTACATATATTGGTTTGAGAATGCCAGTGACATATTTCTTTTGCATATTCAGATAAGCATTAAGTTTTAACATTCCTTCTCTAAGAGGCACAAATACCTCACGGTCATTTTTGAATCTTCATTTCATTTTGTGACTGTGATGGTATTTATTTCTATAATACAAAAACTTTCTAAGATAATGACTATTCTTGGTAACTTGGTTCATCATTGTTAGTATCATTTTATCCCTTAAATAATCTTGGGTTTTTGTAATCTATACTGTCCTTAGATTAATTTACCCTAAGGTAATGTATATGACTGGTCCCATTTCAGTATAGCATTTTTAACTTTTACCCTCTCAGAATCTATAACTCTTTATTAAATATAAATTAATTTACTACTTAAGATTTCTTTATGACATAAAATGACAAAAATTTAATGATTACTTAGCTACGTCAAGCCTCTTTTATGGAATGCTTGGCCATTATTACATTAACTCATAAGCAGCTATTTTAGGTTTTAAAAATAGTTTTCACTTATTTACAAGTTCCAAGTAATACTACCATTGGTTGAGGTTGTCAAAATTCCAGGAAATAGAAAAATTAAAAAACAAAAATTAAATTAAACATTCCATAAAATAAAAGGTAGGAGTGTTGGGAGAAGGGAAATTTATTTTAATACCTGTAGCTAAAAGTGAAATATTTTCACTGAATATTTTTCTAGAAAATCAAGATATTTTCAGACTTAGTAATAATGAAGTGTACATTTTCTTTGTTTAATCATTTGCAGGTAAATTACAGGCCTCCATCTATTATGGGAATTGCTATTCCACTCACAGATAATTTTTATCATGCAGATCCTAGTAAGCCCATACCAAGAAATCTATTCTACAGGTCAAAGGTAAATAATTTTTCTATAAATAAACTAGCACAGTATTTATTTGTGTTCAAGAAATTAGTAAAATTACAGATGGATGTAGCTATATGTATTAAATGAGCGGGTGCAGCTCTTATTATTATCATTGTTATTATTACCACTACTACAACCCCTTTCCTTTTCCAGGTTTAGCGCCTCTTCTTTAGCTGCTACTCTTAGAAATCACTGCTTGTTTGCTTGCTTTTTTGTTACTGGAGATTGAATGCAGGGCCTTTACACTGAGCTACATCCCCGGCCATTTTTTAAGGGTCTTGCAAAGTCACCCAGGCTGGTCTTGAACTTGTGATCCTGCTACCTCAGCCTCCCAGAATGCTGAGATTATAAGCATGTGCCACCACTCCTGGCTTTGGATAGCATTTTTCAGCTAAGACATAGAGAATACTTAAAAATTGTTGAGAAATGAACAATGCACATTTCTGAACAGTATTTAGTCAGCTTTCTATTACTGTGGCAAAATACCTAAGCCAATCAACTTTTCCCTGGCCATACTGGAGACTGAACCCACAGCCTCATGCTAAGCTACCTCCCCAGAACCCTTTCCCTCTTACCCTTTTCTTTTTATTTTTGAGACAAGATCTTGCTAATTTGTTAAATTGCCCAGATTGGCCTTGAACTTGCAATCTTCCTACCTCAACAAAGAGTGCTAAAATTACAGACGTGCCACCACAGCCAGCTGAAATAATCACTTTATAAGGAGGAAAATTTTGTTTTGCCTCTTGAATTCAGAACTTCCACCCTTGGTCACCTGTGATAAGGCAGAGCATCATGGTATGGAACACATGGTGGACCAAAGCTGCTCACTCCATGGAAACTAGGAAGCAGAGACAGAGGGTAGAGGCTGGGTGCCCAGAATCCTTTTCAGTGGTACCTGCCTACTGACCTAACTTCTTTCCATTTGGCCCCACCTTCTAAAGATTCCACACCTCCCAGGAGTACCACAAGATGCTGACCACACCTTCAACACCTGTGTTTTGTTTGTTTTGTTTGTTTTGTTTTGTTTTGTTTTGTTTTGTTTTATTTTGTTTTTGGTACTGGGGATTGAACCCAGTATCCCATGCAAGTGCTCTACCACTGAACTATGTCCCCAGCCCTTTTTATTTTTTATTTTGAGACAGGATCTTGCTAAGTTGCCCAGGCTGGCCTCAAACTTGTGATCCTCCCCGCTCAGTCTCCTCAGTAGCTAGAATCACAGGCATTCCACACAGTGTCAGATAACACATGGCCTCAGAGGGTCAATTTATAAACCATAGAGTGAGGGTGTAGCTCAGTGATACAGCACTTGCCTAGCACATGTGAGACCCGGGATTCAATTCCCAGCACCTGCAAAAACAGACACAAACGATAATACACACATGACATTAGGAGGTTAACATTCTTCTTGGTGAATCTTGAATTTAAGGGTGAAAAGCAAAAAAATGAGCATCTGTGATACTATCTTCTTTCATTCCATGTTCTCCCAAAGACAAAAACCCGTTTTATCACAAAAACTATTTCCACTACCAAAGCATGACTTGACCATATTTACATGCGATTCTTCTTTTTTTTTTTTAACAAAGAATGCAATTTATTAACAACTTAACATGCAAATTCTTAGTTTTCTATATTTTCCCCCCAGGAGTTCCTTGGTAGTTGAATAGCAAATGTATCTCATTTTTGCATAACTAAAAGAGTTTTTTTTCCCCTCATGTATTTTTTATACACTTGACAAATGTTAATTTCAGCATTTGCAGTGTCACCAGGCACTGATCATACATTCTTTGAGGAACAGCACAGAACACAGTAAACCCTCTGTCTTTATGAGCTTTTCTGTACTAGAAGAGAATAGGTATGAAACGTTAAGTTATACAAGTGAAATAGTTTCATCCAGTGCAGCGTTTCTGAACAGCATGATGCCGGACAACCTGAGCCAGAATTTGGTGGAAATGTTTTTACAATGCAGCTTTTCCAACCTCACCTCACAGCTATGCTGAATCAGAAAGTATGGGGTTCAGTCCTGAAATCTGTATTTCAAAAAAATCTCTACAGCTGCTCCTATTGACTCTAAAATTTCAGATAAATCTGAAGAGAGCTAGACACAAAGCTAGCAGTGTGACTGTGTACAAGGACAGTTAGTGGAGTCCAGGCGGGTCAGGAAAATTCCCAGAACAAATGCATTTGCATCAAGACTGAAAGGTGAATCGGAATTGAACAACAAAAGAGAACAGAGTGACAGCATGGATGAGGAAAAGGGCAAACGAAGAACATTCCAGGCTAAAGCCAGGCCAGGTGGTACACGCCAGTAATGCCAGCACTCTAGGAGGCTGAGGCAGGAGGCTGGAAAGTTTGA